GAGACTAACATAAGAGAACTTAGAAACAGACCTCCTGAGAAATTGCAAGGCCATCATAGGAGGACAGACCATGAACTCGTTCACACCACTTGAGCAGATCTCTGTAAATGATGACCAATCAGAAAGAATAGAATGACCAACCCATTAACAACAAGAAAACTCATGGATATATGCTCACCTCAGTGAAAATCTACTTGGAGAACTGAAAGTAGCTGGATTTTCGGTTTTTGAACCAGAAAACTGGGGACGAAGGGAAGAGTTGACAGTTTCATAAGTTTCTGCAAAGATGGAATAGTTTCACTGTGAGTACAGAATCCATGTCAAGGGGCGTATGTGCAGGAGGAACCTACCAATAAATTTCTCTGCAATAGGTATCAGGTTTTGATACCGAGCACCCAAAATATTTTGCAAGCTTTCACAATCTGGTGGATAAACAACYATTCTCCTCCAAAGAGGGCTTAGAGAACTTCCAGCTACAACCAAGAAAACCAGACAAAATAAAATAATAAGGTTTCTTGAAATGAATCTTAGTTGCAAACATCAATAAAACTGAATATTAAATCTAGCACACACTTTGAGCTAGGTTGGTTTACAAAAGGTCATATTAATCAACCACTASATCACARTACTGCTGCAAGATCACAGATATCAATGGTGTATCTAGGGAAGGATCAGGCRAACGYATGCAWCAGCTAGGCTCTCAAACTAATTAGTGTCTGCAAGATATACCTTCCCTGATGTGTGATACACTGCATTCGGGTGTAGATATGGTTGAAAACTCTCTGCTATACGTATCACCTGCAAAAATATTAAAAGTTAACAAGCGCTGAAACTTGAATAAATCTTAGGATAAACACAAATACCTAAAACATAGTAATACAAAAGGTGTGTGCCCTGCAATAATGTTCCAAATAAGAAGAGAGCAGCAAAAGGAAAGTAATTACCTCTCCATGGCTGGTCTCAAATGAGCATGAGCCTCCCAGCAAAGGTGACAAGATGAGGGGAACATCTGATGGAGCTTTGTCTATGTCCTCAAGAACCACCCAGAAACCATTCATAATAGCCTGCCAAGATGATAAAAGAAAAATGCTAATGCAACCGTAGGAGGATAGATACTTCCAGGCTGCCATCTGAATTCGCCAGGTTGATCAGTACACACATAAGTGCCAACCAACGTTTTCCCATCAAGTTGATCATCCATGTGGATAAATACAACTATCAAAATTAAAAGAAAGTCATAAAGTAGAAACAAAATATACTGAGTAATCAGTTAGTTTAAGGCCCTCATTTTTACAATGGAAACCCATGTCAAGATAGTTGCTTTCCCCCGTCCAGTAACGTAGAAAGTTCCTTGGACGTAGCCAAGTACAAAAACATTTGAGACCACTACACGTAGATATTAAAAATATACCATCCCTTGGTTACCACTTTCATCAGCCAACTGTCTAATGAGAGCAGACTTTCCAGAGCCCGAGGGACCATACAGAAGAACAGGTCGTTTCTGACTAACAGCCAATGAGACCATTTCAAAAGATTTCTTCACCCTAGAGTGGATTTCAAATGGTTCAGAGAAAGATTTGGCATCCCTGAATTAAAGAGGAAGGAGGAATTCAACCCGAAATGAGAAAATTAACATCAATTACATGTGGCAAAAGTGGAGAAAATTATTTGAAAAGAAACACAAAGTGAACAGACCAGGTGTCCAGCTTCCGACTCTTCTTCTTCATCGGCTCCTTTTCTGCAGATCGTCGCTTACAAACCCCAGGTACAAGGGTACTAAAATGTTGCAAAGACCTCAACCCAATGTATGTTGGCAATTGAATGTATAATCCAGCTTTTTCTATTTCTATGTCCTGACAAAATTCCTCCCAGCTGATGTATGAAAGAAAATTACCGTTTAGAAACAAAACTAAGACAAAATCGAACTAAAATTCTTGAGTATAGTAGCTATAAGAGGATTACCGTCGCAAGTATGAGAGTGCTTCCTCTCCTTCAAAACCATAATATCCTGCTACGCTGTCACTGCGTCTCAAAACAACAGAAAGAATTTGTATCCCACACCACACAGCCTCTCGATGCTTATCCAAGATAGCCTTTTTCGGTATAGGACAGTCTGAGAGCCTTTTCATGGAGTCCAAGTAACTGGACCAATCCCACAACTTAGAGAAAACCTCAGGTCTAATAATGAGAAAACGATATGATACTTGAAGACGAAGCAAATATGCAGCTGTAGTAGCCTGATTCAGGAGAAAAAAAAAATAATTGATGTAACCGAC